TTGACTGATATGGAAGAAAATATGACGATATAATTCAAAATCATTATTTTCAATAATAATTCATTATTTCTTTGTTTTGATGCTTCATTTATGCTTAAAGGGGCAGAGAGGCTTTAGGACCATCTCTCCATCTAAGTTGTTCTGCTGGGAGTTGCCTGGTTTTGGAGATACCAGGGATAGAAATGTCGATCTTTTCTCTAATATAATGGGAGTGAATGGCATTCTTTCTGTGACGGTTAAAGTGGGAAAAAAAACACATTTGAAAAATTCATCAGCAATGTCTCCTACCAGAAATCATGGCCTGGTTATTTAAGATAATCCAGAGTCTTTGTAGTGAACAGTTTAATGTATGAGCTATTTTCTTCTACCGAACTCCACACACCAATCGTATCACGGCGCAGAAGATACAAGTATGAGCACCCCGACGATATCTTCTGCACAGTGATACGACTGGTGTATGGAGATCGGTAGACATACACTCACAGAGGAAGTGACCTCATTAAATTATATCGAACTTCCATTAAGCATTTGGCATATTGATTAAGAGGAAAATTATATCACGACAATTATCGTTATCGTTTAATGCCCAGCCCTACTTTTTAAGCACTGAGTCATACTGAATAGACAGCTTGATTATTGCAGCTACACCTCCAACTATTCATACTCACGTTTCCCTTGGCCAGGAAGTGGGAAACCCTTTTCTTCTGGCCTGGGAAGAGGGTGGTTAACATGCTCTCAGCACCTTCATTCTCCTCGACATCTTTAGCTGGCTGCGACTGAAAAAAACAAATAATGTCAAGCACAGGTACAGAACCAAGGTGGCTCATCCTGTCCTCACAAACCATAGACTCTGCTGGGCTTCATGCCAAATAGCTTTACTGAGGTAATTACAGACGCTCCTCTACTTACAAACTTTCAACTTACGATCTTTCAGACATACGAACGAAGAGGACTGCAAGTCCAAATTGTGTTTGTTGGGCTCCCGTTTCCTGTCCGCAACATCAATTTTTCTTTCCGCCTAGTACGCCTTCTGGCCGCTACTCCCGCCGCGCAGCAGCGTAGCGTGCGTACTCCCAGCATCCTAGTTCTTTGTACTTGTATATACCCTTAAAATGATGTTGAATAACGACTTACGAACATTTCAAGTTACGAACGGCCGTTTGGAATGAAACTTTCATAAGTAGAGTAGCGTCTGTATAACGAAATCAAGGGGCATCTCCAGGTCATTCAGACATTACTCCAGGCATTAATGAAACATACGAGAATCTCTAGGAGAGAGAGCTCCACCCGGCCTATGGACTGAAGACATAGCTTGACTTGTCTCCTTACAAACATTAGCTACAAGTTCGGCCGAGAAAAGCATCCATCCCTCCATCTCTAATAGCCACTTTTCTTGCTATGTGGCTTTGCTTTGCATTTTCTCCTCAAAATTGCTCCTTCTGGATCCATCATTCTAAACTCCCCAAAAAAATACACCCACCCTCTCTGGCATTAAAGAAGAGCACTGCCAGTTACACATGCTTGGTCACCGTGGAAACTCTAATCACAGCTGGCGGGCGTGAAATACGTGGGAGATGTTATCAGCCAAGCATCTCAGTATCCAAGCACTGACTCAGTAGACTCTATTTCAGATCCTAACCATGCTCTTTAACATGCACACAAACAGATCTGTAAAACACATGCACTAGCACAACTCCGTTCCTCCCTTGCAGCTTCCCATGACTCATACAGAGGGACACGGCACCTGCTTTGTCTGTCTCCCTTTGTCTTCTGTCTTGACGTCCTTTGATTCATTGAATATGCGAAGGCACTCCTCCATAGGGTCCGAGTCAAAATCCAGGTCCACTTGCAAGCTGGAGAAGTCATCCTCACTTCCACCACCACTGTCACCATCCCCGTAATCATCTTCATCATCATGACCAACAGCAAAGTCCACCTGCTCCCCGCCTTCATCCTCTGAGGAAGAGCCGGTGACTTCTGAAGCTGTCCTCTTACTAATCATCAAACCTCTCCTCTTGAAAGCAGCTGCTGACTTTCTCACCACATTTCCCTCTTCCTCTTCTTCTGCGCTATCATCCCCAAACAGATCTGCATGACTCAGAGACCTTGGCTTCTCTTTCTGAAGTTTAGAGGGTTTGATATCTGAAGACTTCTTGGTTTCAGTCCTCTTATCTTTACTACTACGATCGCTCCGATGGCCCTTCTTCTCTTTCTCGTGTCTATTGCCCTCCAGTTTCCCATTCTTCAATTCATGAGACACAGATAACCCCTTGCTGGCCTTTTCAGAAACCCTGAGCCCCTTGGGATGGCTTCTCCCTCTCTCCCCGACTTTCCGCCCAGATTCCCCTTTCTTCTCTGCTTTCGAACTCTTCCCATCACTCTTCACCTTATGCAGATCCTTACAGCTCTTGGTCTTGCTGTCCTTCACCTGGACCATCTCTTCTGCACTCTCTCCCTCGCTTTTTCCATCCTTCTTGAGCTCCACTTTGCCTGATTTCTTAGCAGCAGGCTTTTTACCATCTCGGCCAGCACTTCCTGTCGTTTCCTTTGAACTATAACTCTTTTTATAGGATTCCTTCTGGTCACTGTCTCCTTTCCCCGATTTGCTGCTTTTCTTATTACTGCTTTCACTTGCCGTTTTCTTCCCTGTGGCTCGATCATCTCGGAAAACAAATTCCAGGCTCTCCGAGTCCTCTGAGTCACACACTGTTGACCTCCCCACCCTTTTAGTCTCTGAGCTTAGCCGCTGCCTCATCTTACCAGCGGAGGCACATTCCCCTTTCTCATCACCCCGGACCACGGGGTCTCCTGTGGGCACAGTTCTGTTCTTTTTCTTCTGGAGGCGGCTGACAGAAGTTGGCCTGTACTCCAACCCAGAACTCTCGTCATCAGACTCTGAAAAACTTGCAGAATACTTTTTGGAATCAAAGACTACTGTTGGCTGCTGCCTCGCCTTCTTTAGAGTTGGTACATAACTGTTGTCTGATTCATCTACAGCCTGCTTCTCCGCTATAGCAGAATGGCCCCTCTTCTTGTTCCCCAACGGTGCCTCAACCTCTGCTACACCCATGCATTTCTGCTCTTTAGGGCTCCTGTTATTCTTGTTCCCAGGATGTGCTGAGAAGTTAGACAGAGGGTCATATTCTAAATCAGTGGGGGGTTTGGAGTTGTCCAGTGTGTATTTGCACTTGGAGGAAGAGCTGGGAATTCTTGGGGGACTTGGAGGGGGAAACCGAAGAGTCCGGGAGGAAGGAAGAGGCTTTTTTGTGGCTGTTTTGGTGACAGTAGTGGGCACATATTCCAGGGCACTTGCATAGGTGTTCTTATCATCAGAGTCCAAGGTGTATTTGCTGGAACAGGGGGTTGGATTATAATCAGCCGCTGGACTTATTTGGTAGCTGCTTGGGTCGTATTCTAAGGGGGTGGCAGAAGCCTTATGTCTCTTGGCACCCAACTGGATGCTACTGGCAGTAGGATCATACTGCTGATCCCCGATGCGAGACAGTTTCTTCTGCTCACGCTCCACCTCATCCCGCATAGCCTCAATTGCACGGTTGACCATTTCGAGCTCCAGGGCCCCCTGACCCAGGGGGCCCACATCCGACACAAGCTCTCCATTCTGAACCTCTGGGTTGTATGGCTCACAGTCTGGTTCTGCAGAGAAAAATTAAACGTATTTTAAGTTATTACAAAACAAAAAAAAGACAAAACATTGTATAACAGTTAAACTTTAATTGAATACAACAAAAAAAATTTAACTATAGCTATATGAAAATACAACACCAGCTCAGACATATTTAGCTAGTTCAGGTTAATAAGTATTTTAAACTGACATAACTATTCAAGTATTTATTAAGACATCTGCGAAACAACTGAAACACAGACTTCGTTTTACTGTCGGAAAATGCAAGACACGTCATATGCGAACTGAGGTTTATTAATCTGAAATCACTGTTAAAAATGAACACGATAGAAAGTATGTATATGTATTGTGAGAGTGCTGTAATTTAAAAAAGGGGGGAAAAACAGCAGCTCCTTTTTTTTCCTCTCTTATGCCAGCAGGAGAAAACACCGCCGCCTGGGGAGGGAAGTTTAATGCCTGCTTAAATACGCATTATACAGTGAACGACGTCACTCTGTACATGTTAAAAATCACAGATAATATGTATTGAGATCACTACTCAACCTCTTGTTTATGCCTGCAAGAATTTTCCACAAATACTACTACGAAACGAACACAAAGCACACTTCCATATTTTTAAAGAAAACAAAGCTATTCACCCTTTTGTTTGAAACAAGCTTGCAGCGGTTTTCTGTTATTTGCGTTAAGAGACTCCCTCCTCTGTCTGCTGTGCCTGAAGTGACAGTACGGTCTATTGCAGTTATCTCCATCGCTCCTCCCGTCATGGCTTTCCGAATAAAACGGGCAGTCAATCCCACGGAAGAAACCGGTGGATCTCAGCATCGTCCACGCACAACACTTTCATACCCGCTAAACCAAAACGGAACAAGACACAAGAAATGTTTGAGCGACGACCACTTTCAAACCTAGAGTATCGTTCACTACCGTTTAGCCTTCTACACATACAACACACAAGCATCCAAACGGCGCCATGTTTAGTAGAAGACAATTACAGAGGATGGACCCCACTGTCGCACGTGTTGACGTCATTAGGTAGTCCGATAATCTGCCTGGCTGCCGAATATTGGTATGAGTAGAAACTTGATTGAACTTTCCCTTGTAAATTATAAACATCGTGTACAGGCTAAATAGCACATGACCCTGATTTTATAGCCAATCAGGACCAACTTGTAGTAATTTAACCTACTTTGTTGATAATTACGCAGCCTTCTACTGATTAGGTAATAGAGTTTGCTTATGTGGCGGCTGTGATTGATGTACTTACTACACCGCCATTTAGTTACGAGTCATGATGGGGTTGCCTCAGCTGTACTGTACCTCGCATCCGAACGGGCACAGGTTAAAGGAAAGACGAAAACAAAGCGGTTATGGCGTTTTATTTTCAACCATTACAAAATGCGTTACTTGAACTACAGCGACATCTGGTGGATAATATCGGCCTACGGAAACCAGACTAAAACCAAGCAAGGGAGATCATGTCAAGATTGACTGGTGGTTCATAGGCTGGGCTGTACTACTTTGACATGGTACCTCAAGATAAAGACATTGAAGCTTTATTGAAAAATACTTCACATTCTGTAACCAAAAGGAAAACTTCTAGGCCAACGCACAACACTTGTCCCAAACATATACACGATTCTTGAATTGCAAGTGGCTTTAAACCGTAGTGACCAAACCGTAAGAGATTCACATTCCGTGCAATGGCACCAGTAGCCATTTGATGGAATTTATGCCCCTTTTAATAAAAAGGCTTCAACTCTTACGGAGAAGCTTCACTTTCATTACCTCGACCCCCCACCAAGCTTGAGTTTTCGCCAAGTCCCCAACCCAGTGAAGCCCCTAGACTTTGCTTCAGAATTACTGGCGGCCATTTCCATGTCGGGTCCGCGTTGTAGGACCACAGCTGCCCCAGCAATGTTCGGCAATAAGCAAAAGCGGAGACGTTCCCCAGGTACAGTCCATGCTTGAGCTACAGTGAGCCTTCTGCGGAGATCCAGCTCTGGTCATCTTCAGGCGTGACGCTGGTGGCCATCCTGGATAAATTTCGATCACAGTTAACGCCTCTTCACCAAAAAAATAAATAAAACTAAACCCCACACAATGTGGGGGAATGTGCCACCTAAGGTCCAAACGTAAGATGTAAAGAACAAATAAAATCACTAGGTAAACATCTAAGGTTTGTTAGAGCAGTACCTAATCGGCTAGCTGCAAGTTCATGGCGTTGTAAAAAAATAAAGATAAGGAATGCAATGCAGCTAGAGCGCCGTAAGTAAAACTTACATTTTTTCCCCCCAAAAGTCCAGCCCCTGATAGTTCCTTGTGTGATAAATCACGTTTCCAGCATTTCTTACCTAGTCTATACTGTGGCTCAAGCGACAGGTAAAGCGTTCCGATAAAAAACAAACGTAAAGATATTTCGCCGCGAAATAAAAATTTGGCTAACTTAATAAACTTAGGAAAACCTACCAAATGACATTGCAAAGAGTCCGTACTGGCCCGTGTGACGTGTTTTATCATGGCCCACAACCGCCAGCACACCTGCGCCGCAATCAGTCATCAGCCTAAAGTTGTTGCAACAATTAGAAATTATGTAACGTTAGGAAGAATAAGAATGAACTGTTTTCGTTCATCTAAATTGAATATTAATTATATGGGATTTTTTGGGGGGAAAGCGGTAAAGAAGGGCGTTTTTGTAATAAATTACAAAACAAATTGAATCTGTCCTGGATTCCTAATGTTTTCTTTTCTCTCTCAAAGCAGGACGTCGAAGATCCCGATTCGTGTTTCTCTGTCACAGCTGTGTTATCGTGTTTACAAAAAGTAACTGGGAACAAAAATATATTTTAGTGATATTGTAGTGTACATCACTCATTTGCCAATTCCAGTACCATGTTAAGGGGGGTAAACCTGCCTCTTTGATCTTATATTTACTGCAACACTGAAGGCATGTAAAGTGGGCTGCATCGGCCCTGGGTTCTCTGGCAAGGGCACAACTTTGGGTTGAGCAGTGGGGGGTTGAGGTCGATCTCCACCCATTTAAGGGGGTCCACGAGGTTGTATTGGCTGGTTTTGATTACTACATCCCCCCATAATTTATGTCCATGTACTCTGGTTTTCTCAGATGGTCTAAAACATATGATTGATCTGCTTAAATAACCGTTAGTTTTTCTTTGTGTCTGTATTCAATGGACTGGTATCCTATCTAGGGTGTGTTTATCTGGAACGGATTCCAGGCTTACTGTGGCTCTGCATTATATAAGCAAGTGTGAATAAGGGGTGGATGTATTTTTTTTCCCTGTCCTTAAATATAATACTGCCATTGTCACCTTATCCTCACCCAGAAAAAGAGGAAAAACCAGTCAGGGAAGAGCATCACCTGAACTGCAGACGAGCTACCCTCCCACCTACAGAACGATCCCTGTAGGCCTACCAGCCCCAACAGGAAGGACGCAGCACTGCATGATGGGACATCACTGCAGCTTTCCATCATTGAAGAAGCACCAGAGGCACATGTTGGAGATAAATGTGCACAGGAAGATTTCCTCCACTTCGGAGGGGGGGGGCACAGTGCTAGTTATACTTATTGTAGGCATTTACTCCCACCCAAAAAAGCAGCGAGTGGAAAAGCAGCCTCAGTTAGTAAACTCTCAAAGAGGGAAAATCACTCCAAAAGACAGGTTGAGTTTCCTAAAAACCAGTTCAGGAAACAGCAGCAAGTTCTATACAAATGACCTCTGCTGAAAAGATTTGTTTACAAAATTCCAAAAAGACTTAAGGGAGGTAAAACCACATGTAACCCTGGTGATATGGATATGGATTCTGCTAGAGCAGGGGTGTCAAACTGCTGTCCTGGGGGGCCGGAGCCCTGTGTAGCTTAGTTCTTTCCCTCTTCCACCACAAATGATTCAGTTCAACAGCTATGTGGTAATTAGCACAAGAAGTTGAATCAGGTGTGTTAAACGAGGGGAAACCCCAAAAATGTGCAGGGCTCCAGCCCTCCAGGACTGGAGTCTGACATCTGTGTGCTAGAACCAGGGAATTGTGGACAACAGCCCTCTTCTGCACAGGAAGACACAGCCCAGACTCCGGAAAACAAGTGGAGCAAAATACTTGAAAAAGTTATCCGTCCTATTGTTATCAGATCTGAAGCAAAGCTATGAATGACAATATCCGTATAGAACAGTGTTGCCCAATCCGGTGGTCAGGGACCCACAGGCGGGAGCTGGGAGGGGCCAGAAACGTGGACTGTCTGTGGGCCCCCAAGGACCGAGATAAGATTTAGAGGTAGGAATAATGGTCAACACTGTTCTCATCAGGTAACTAAAGTTGAAATAAACAGAAGCTTGAAAGAGTAAATACAGAGGGTACTTATAAAACAGATTCTCCTTTGGCAAAGATGGTTTTGGATCTTTGGTGCAAACTCAGCTGAACCTTAAACAAAACCTACACACCAGCAGCCTGTCCTTCAAGATGATGCCCAAAGGTGTTGCAGATCCCCCTGTCCAATACTAGAGAACAATCTGGAATCAAAATGTGATGAGATCTCATTTTCCTGCAAATAAACTGGTAAGACGTTAGAGTGTCATGTTGCATGCAAGAAACTGCTGCAAACCTTTGGCTTGTCTCAGATCGCACAGGACTCTCAGGGTTACCTCATGCTAAACACACAGAAGCAGAAACCAAATGTTTCTCCAGAGCCTGTCTGAGGTAATTAACTTTCACTGAAGCCCTGAGTGGCTGCTGTGACAGCAGCTCCCATGTGTACACCTAATGTGGCAGTTTTTTTTCCCCCCCTACCGTTTCGTCCCTTATTTGCAGTGTCCTAACACCCCCCCCCCTTTACCTGTCCCTTGCCCTGCAGATGTGGCACAAGAATTTTACAGTGTTCCTCAAAAAACTTGAAACACTAAATATTCATTTCATTAATATTCCATAATACTCCATTTTCAGGATTGTTTGTGCACTGGGTGTCCCGTTTTGTCCAAATTCTACATACCTTACTGTTGCATGCACGATGTATTTTTTCAAAGCGGAACTAATGTAAGATTGAGGTGCAAACAAATGATTTTTCCTTTCCGACCAACTGACAAAGGAACACACTGGAACTCAAGATACGGAAAAGGTCGGTCATACATTCTGTAAGTAATCATCCCCCTGAATCGGCGCCAGGAGCCTCAAGTTGTTCATTGCAGCCTAAGACTATTACTCCAAGTATAATGCAAGTATATAAAAACGTGATTTTTGACCAAATCAAGACTTTATGTAGTAGTTCCTGACACATCTCACGTGTTTGCAATAAATGGAAAATGGAGGGGGAAAAAAAAAACCACACTTATGTAAAATTGAACCAATGACCATAAACAGTGAAACCATACTAGTAAATCATAAAAAAAAAAACCTTGCAAAACAAAAAGACCTTACCAGTGTGCAAGGGGAGGGGAAACGGCAATTTTTACAGGTACAACATTTCGTTGCAAACTGCTGTCTCACACGTCGCTATTGAGTATTTGCTGCAGTGGTATTTTTCAAAATTACAGGAAAATCAGGACACGTTTTGATTTGACAGATTCAGATTAAATTTCTTAATAGTCTAAGTGCATTAGGCAGCTATCTTTAGTAACTGAAATCGAACTGTTCCCTCCATATATAAACTGAAACAAGCACAATGAATCAGTTTGAGTTTTTTTATTTTTTTTTTTAGAAAATGGTACAAAATTCTAGAACAGTCTTATGAAATTTTACTTTAACTGCAATTTGCCATGTGGTACAGTAAAGTGCTTTTATAAATAATCAGTAAAGTTTGTTGGGTTTCCTTTTTCAAAATTGCCCCCTAAGTGTTTTGGGGCTTAAGAACAAACCAAAAAAAAAAAAAAAACTAAACAGTGCTAACAAAAGACCTTAAACAAGAAAATATGGAAACATTAGGACTTGTCAGTAACAGGTAGAATTCACATTTCATTTTTAAAGGGAAAAAAAACCCCAACCACACCTTTCCATCCCCCTTTGGTGCGGCAGTTAGTAAATGCCAGAGTTTCAGGGAGATGCAAGAGCAGATCTCACTCTTCCAGTGCTTCGGAAAGCAATCCTTAAATCACAGAATTTATGAATGAAAACAAGATCAGTTTTTAACCTGAGACCACTGTCAGTTGACCCAGTTGTCAGAAGATCTCGAACAGTGCTACTCTGCATAGAAAATGAGATGTGAAAAATCGGATTTCATACCCGTGCTAGTCCTATTGGCTAAATGTTTAGGACCAAGAGTAGCACAGAGATCTCTATGACAGAGGTAGCATGCAGAACAGTGAATGGATAATGCTATCAAATCCTGACATTTATGCACCAAGGGGGATTTCTGGGTTGAATATATATATAAAAAAAAAATACTGAATTAAAATAAAAATGTCTTTTCAAAACCAAAGACCATTCAACTTGTGCCTTGTCTTCACTTTAAATTTGCTGAATGATGGACTCCTCCAAACAAAACAAAAGGAAACAAAGATGTACAGATCAAGTCTTACTATAAGACAAACACCATAAATGCATTTGGTGAAAGATCAGGGATTACAGTCAGCATCAACCACTTCCCAGCCAAAACTAATCTGCTTTTCTTTCTTCAAGGACCACATTACGCGGGAAACATCTGGGCAACACTGTTCAGAAAATTGTTTGGGCAAATTTTGTCCCATGGTAACAGTTAATTTATGCAAACAGCCAAATTCAAGGTTAAGTTCATTTTGACTACAGCAATTAAAATATTTTTGCAAAGATAAATTTTTAGGTTACCATGTCCAACTGAAATTTAGACACTGCCAGAATAAGATGGAGCAAAATAGTCACTGCCCACCTTGAAATGAAACCAAAGAAAGAAAATAGAGCTTAATTTTCTAGATTGTTTTTTTGCTGCCATACTTCTACAGATTCATCTCCACCATCTCACATTTTAACAAATGCTTTGCCATCATAACCACTAAATATAATTCAATGTGAACGTAAAAGGATCAATTACCAGCACCGGTTTGAACACTAACGAAAAAGCTTAACAAATGGCACAGCTTAGACAGAGATCCAAATATGTAATTCCATCTACTTACATATTAAGACATTTCTTTGGAAGACTCTCCTGGAATGATTTTCCTCCCCTATTCTTGAGCACTATTCAAACGTCTGCTTTTTTAAACTTTCAGTTTCCAAAAACTGACGCGTTTGTTAGAAATGTTTTGACATTTCGCTAAACAGACATTGTTGCCTTCAGCTAAAGAGGAAATCTCCTTTGTCCCCGACCTTTCAGAAAAGCCTAATTAACAAACATGTGTCGATATTGTCTGTCTTGGATCATATGAGAACCCACCCAGGGCAATATTAACTCAATAAATGATGTCATTATCAATGATGTGACATTCGGTGCACAATGAATTCAGGAACCGCTACATATATATTCTTCCCAACAGCGTATGGCTTACATGCTCAGTGAAGCTCCCACTTTAGCTTCTCCAACACTTTGGAAATCAAGTATTAACTTTGAAATGCAACTTTTTCTAGCCACAAAAACAAAATAGTGTTTAGGTGCAAAGTTGTTGCTGGTCCAGGGAAGAGCCCAGTATGGACGACACTTGAGGGTTAAAAAACCCTATATGAAACCTTTGTTGGATTGGGGTGGTTTTCTATTGGACATTTTTTTCTAGGAACACACAGGCCATGTGCATACAGATGCACTGCAGAGTGAATATTAAAGAGACACTGGTAAGTTCACTTAAGGGAACCCAGCAACAGATGGCACTAGACGGTCTGGCATCACTGACTGCCAGATGTTCCAATTCAATGCTGGTTACATAGTTACCTTCATTGCTGCAATTGCATAAGCTTGTCACTGATCAACCAACAGTGCCCACACACATACAAGCAAGAGAGGGGTTGACTTTCTGCCTAATGAAATTCACAGTGGGTCCAGTTGTAGCACATGTAGACAAAGTGACAGGTAGTCCTTTGGTGGTGAGCTCACTTTATGCCACTAATTGCACACACAAAAAAAAAAAACAGGAAACATCTGGAGGTCACACAAACTGCTCCCATCTCCTCCTGCAGGAAGAAGGCTGGGGGGGCAGGGGGGAGAGTAGGGTAGATGGACTGAGCTCTGGCAAGATGACCACGGGGCTCATGAAAAACCCTGAGCAGAAGTGGGACGAGCACACTGGGCTAGGCACAGTCCCCCACGATGACCAGAGGAGCAAGGAGCTGGTGTAGCTCAGAGGCAGAGACTGGATCCTGCTTTAGCAGACCACTCCTCTGCCTCCTCTTGGCCAGCTTGGAGCTTGAGGGCGGGGAAAGACGCATGGAGCTGGAGCTTGCAGTCACCACCAGGGGGCGCTCGTGTTCCTCCTTTGTCTCTTCCTGTTCGGCTAGCTGCCGGTTCATGGCCACGGCCTTCCCTGCAAACAGTGTCAGATCCTTGGCACTGCTTCTTCTGAAAAAAGGAAGGAGGAATTGCAGAACATGAGAATGGAACCAGCAACTAACCATCCATGTTTACCAGTGAAAGTCTTCACCCTTCACCTGAGACCAAATGTGGAATGGAGACTATATTCACGAGATCCTATTTAAAATTGCATCACAAAAAAAAAAAAAGCATGTTTGCAAACAATACATCACAAAAGCACTGGAATTCTGTCGATTCAGTGTAGATGGTGAGGAGAAGAACATACCTCTGAAGTAGTATGGATGTAGGCAAAGCATTGGGAGCACACTAAGGGGGAAGAACACGGGGTCGTGATTAAGCATTCAGAACACCTTCCGCACAAGTGTCCGCGAGACGCAGCGGCCGCGCCGTTAAACTCACCCCCTGCACCCACGCATGTTGCAGCACCTGAGCAGCACTCAAACGGTTCTTGGCGTCCCGCACCAGAAGCTTGGAAATGAGGTCTTTGGCACTAGAGGAGACGTGAGCCCAGTCCTTCTCAGGGAACTCGTACTTCCCTTCCTGGATGCTCTCAAACAGCATGTTCTGCAGAAAGGTTGGATTGCAGTTCAAAGGTTAAACACACAACTCTTCAATACTATCCATTTTCAATAGCCATGAACTGACCCAACTCCAGATAACCATTAACATTAACTACAATACACATATTCTGCCTTGCAGACACATCCCTACGGCACCTTATACCTTCGGTGTTGATGAAAATTACAACTGTTTATGGAAAACAGCTAATTTTGTTTTTATCAAAGTAATGTGTCAAATCACAAATGCCACATGCACTATGGCGCTTACGATATGCATGAAGCATGACACTTCCCACATGCACCATGGCGCTTACGATATGCATGAAGCATGACTTCTTTAAATGGGTTTCCATGGGTACCTGGCAGGCTTGACAGGGTTCCCCCCAGTCCCATCCGCAGTCACCCCCGCAGCGGCCCACAAATGGCGGATAGCCACTCAGCATGATGTAGAGGATGACCCCCAGGCTCCAGAGGTCGCAGCGTTTATCGTAGATGCTGGCTTCCTCGCTGAAGGCTTCCACTACCTCAGGGGCCATGTATTCTGCCGAGCCACACTGAAACGGGACAGGGCTTGTGTCACAATGTCAACTCATCCTCCACCAAAATAGGAAAGATGGACATGGATGTGTGTTAAGGGAAGATGCACATGTCACTGCTTGATAATCATTTTCTCCACCTCAACAATTAAGCAGACAGAATGAAACAAGAACCACTGTCCAAATACCTTCAGTTTCACTATAGAGATTAAATGCAAGATCCTGCAACCATTAACAGAAATTGTCTACTGAAAACAATCATGTTGACCCTGTGCTGAGAACCATTGCAATTCCACCTCAGTCCAACAGGGGATGAATGAGCACCAGTTTCTGGGTGGATGGGGGTTGCAAAGAGGTTCACAAATGGATCTTTGAAACAAGACACCAGGCACTTTGCTCCAGATCTGCACTCCACCCCCTACCCTGGCCCTGCTTTGTCCCCCAATTCCAACATAAACATCTCCCCCACACAATCTCCATAACTAAGCTCACTGGCTCAATCCATCTCAAAAATCCATGTTAACGTCTGAGGATTCAAATTGCTGAGGTGCTGAAGTTAAAGGATAAAATGCACTGCTTGCCTGAGGGAAAAAAAAAACAAAAAAAAAAAACCTTTGTTATGCAAGTATAAGCTAAATTCAGCACAACCGAGATGCGAGGTGGGGTTCTGGCAAAGCAAGCCTGCATTCCCACAATCACGCAGTGCAAGATGTCTGCTACACTTACTGCAGTGTAGACAACTGCTGTGTTCCACTGAAGTGTGGCTGACTGCAGTACTGAGGTCTGCAGGGACCTAATCTTCTTAGACCAGTTTCTCTCTATTGGGTCTTCAGGACTCCCAGACGGTCCATGTCTCTGCTCCCTCCCAGCTCCAGCAAAAACATGGACTGTCTGGGCATAAGCATTCCACTGAATAAGAAGCAGACCGCTATGTGTCAGCAGTGGGGGGGGGGCGGGGGTGGTTATATAAACAAAGCAGACTATCGTGTTTTAAAGGACGGGGGGAGGCGTGCCTGGAGTCTCATTACTGTAGGTGCACATGTGTCCTTAAGGCTCCCCCATTGTTCACCCAAGCCCAGCTGTCTGCTCTGCCCCCCCCTCCCCCTCCCCCTCCACACAACCATGTAATGGCATCTTCGCAGCGCAGGAATGTCCAACTGGCAGACAAAGCCAGCTTTGTGGCTGGGGGCCC